ATACACAGAATAAAAACAGCTTTTGTCCGACAACCTTCAGATTTTTAACAGTGCGACCTAAAGTGGTGCAGGAAGTGCCTGCGTGATGCAGAAAGATCACACAAGTACCTGGGCAGGTTACCAGTTTGGGACCCTCATCCTTCACATGATGGATAGTAAATGGAGCAGAGAGCAGGGTCTCTGTCTGTCCCTGTGACCTAGGCAGCTGCCTATGGTCACATTATGATTAATCCTGCTCTGGTCTGCCAACAGCGGGAGGAAGAATTTGTATAATGTTGTATTGTTCGTATGATGTCTATATAATGCAGATAGAGATATCAGAATAGGGAGCTCAGTTACCTTATGGGAGGGTGGCACATGCTCATGTCCCACGTTGGCAGCGAAAGACGTGCCACATGACGCAGCCTGGCCGTCACTCAGATAACAAATGTCACCAACGTGAAGGAGGGAGGGCGAGAAATTCCAAATGGTCCCTCTAGCGCTCTATCAGATCTGTGACTTGTGTCCTCTCTGAGCTTATTGGGGAGAGAGACACAGAGAGACAGCCTGTGAGAGGGAGAGAGAGAGGGGCAGTGTGATCCCCCCCATACTGTACAATACAGGGTCTGATCACCCCCATACTGTACAATACAGAGTCTGATCTCCCCCACACAGTACAATACAGAGACTGATCTCCCCCACACTGTACAATACAGAGTCTGATCTCCCCACACTGTACAATACAGGGTCTGATCTCCCCCACACAGTACAATACAGAGACTGATCTCCCCCACACTGTACAATACAGAGTCTGATCTCCCCACACTGTACAATACAGGGTCTGATCTCCCCCACACAGTACAATACAGAGACTGATCTCCCCCACACTGTACAATACAGAGTCTGATCTCCCCACACTGTACAATACAGGGTCTGATCTCCCCCACATTGTCCAATACAGGGTCTGATCTCCCCCACACTGTACAATACAGAGTCTGATCTCCCCCACATTGTCCAATACAGGGTCTGATCTCCCCCACACTGTACAATACAGGGTCTGATCTCCCCACACTGTACAATACAGAGTCTGATCTCCCCACACTGTACAATACAGGGTCTGATCTCCCCACACTGTACAATACAGAGTCTGATCTCCCCATACTGTATAATACAGGGTCTGATCTCCCCCATACTGTACAATACAGAGTCTGATCTCCCCCACATTGTACAATACAGTGTCTGATCTTCCCCACACTGTACAATACAGTGTCTGATCTCCCCATAATGTACAATACAGAGTCTGATCTCCCCCACACGGTACAATACAGGGTCTGATCTCCCCACACTGTACAATACAGGGTCTGATCTCCCCACACTGTACAATACAGGGTCGGATCTCCCCCCACACTGTACAATACAGAATCTGATCTCCCCATACTGTATAATACAGGGTCTGATCTCCCCCACACTGTACAATACAGGGTCTGATCTCCCCCATACTGTACAATACAGAGACTGATCTCCCCCATACTGTACAATACAGAGTCTGATCTCCCTCCCACACTGTACAATACAGGGTCTGATCTCCCCCCACACTGTACAATAAAGGATCTGATCTCCCCATACTGTATAATACAGGGTCTGATCTCCCCCATACTGTACAATACAGGGTCTGATCTCCCCCACAATGTACAATACAGAGTCTGATCTCCCCCACACTGTACAATAGAGTCTGATCTCCCCACACGGTACAATACAGGGTCTGATCTCCCCACACTGTACAATACAGGGTCTGATCTCCCCCACACTGTACAATACAGAGTCTGATCTCCCCCACACAGTACAATACGGGTTCTGATCTCCCCCACATACTGTACAATACAGGGTCTGATCTCCCCATACTGTACAATACAGGGTCTGATCTCCCCCACACTGTACAATACAGAGTCTGATCTCCCCCACACAGTACAATACAGGGTCTGATCTCCCCCACACTGTACAATACGGGTTCTGATCTCCCCCACATACTGTACAATACAGGGTCTGATCTCCCCATACTGTACAATACAGGGTCTGATCTCCCCATACTGTACAATACAGGGTCTGATCTCCCCCACACTGTACAATACAGGGTCTAATCTCCCCATACTGTACAATACAGTGTCTGATCCCCCCCACACTGTACAATACAGGGTCTGATCTCCCCCACACTGTACAATACAGAGTCTGATCTCCCCCACACTGTACAATACAGGGTCTAATCTCTCCCACACTGTCTGATCTCCCCCACACTGTACAATACAGAGTCTGATCTCCCCCCCACACTGTACAATACAGGGTCTAATCTCCCCCACACTGTACAATACAGAGTCTGATCTCCCCACACTGTACAATACAGGTCTGATCTCCCCCATACTGTGCAATACAGGGTCTGATCTCCCCATACTGTGCAATACAGGGTCTGTCTCCCCACAATACAGAGTCTGAATACAGAGTCTGATCTCCCCCTCACTGTACAATACAGAGTCTGATCTCCCCCCACTGTACAATACAGGGACTGATCTCCCCCACACTGTACAATACAGAGTCTGATCTCCCCCACACTGTACAATACAGAGTCTGATCTCCCCCATACTGTGCAATACAGAGTCTGATCTCCCCACACTGTGCAATACAGGGTCTGATCTCCCCCACACTGTGCAATACAGGGTCTGATCTCCCCATACTGTACAATACAGAGTCTGATCTCCCCCACATTGTACAATACAGGGTCTGATCACCCCAAACACTGTACAATACAGGGTCTGATCTCCCCCATACTGTACAATACAGGGTCTGATCTCCCCCATACTGTACAATACAGAGTCTGATCTCCCCCATACTGTACAATACAGAGTCTGATCTCCCCCATACTGTACAATACAGAGTCTGATCTCCCCCATACTGTACAATACAGGGTCTGATCTCCCCCATACTGTACAATACAGGGTCTGATCTCCCCCATACTGTACAATACAGAGCCTGGTCCCCCCACATTGTACAATACAGGGTCTGATCACCCCCATACTGTACAATACAGGGTCTGATCTCCCACACACTGCACAATACAGAGTCTGATCTCCCCCCACTGTACAATACAGAGTCTGATCTCCCCTCACTTTACAATACAGAGTCTGATCTCCCCCCACTGTACAATACAGGGACTGATCTCCCCCACACTGTACAATACAGAGACTGATCTCCCCAAACACTGTACAATACAGGGTCTGATCTCCCCCACACTGTACAATACAGAGACTGATCTCCCACACACTGCACAATACAGGGTCTGATCTCCCACACACTGCACAATACAGGGTCTGATCTCCCACACACTGCACAATACAGGGTCTGAGCTCCCCATACTGTACAATACAGGGTCTGATCTCCCAAACACTGTACAATACAGGGTCTGATCTCCCCAAACACTGTACAATACAGAGTCTGATCTCCCCCACACTGTACAATACAGGGTCTGATCTCCCCCACACTGTACAATACAGGGTCTGATCTCCCCCACACTGTACAATACAGAGTCTGATCTCCCTCCCACTGTACAATACAGAGACTGATCTCCCCAAACACTGTACAATACATGGTCTGATCTCCCACACACTGTACAATACAGGGTCTGATCTCCCACACATTGTACAATACAGGGTCTGATCTCCCACACACTGCACAATACAGGGTCTGAGCTCCCCATACTGTACAATACATGGTCTGATCTCCCCAAACACTGTACAATACAGAGTCTGATCTCCCCAAACATTGTACAATACAGAGTCTGATCTCCCTCCCATTGTACAATACAGAGTCTGATCTCCCTCCCACTGTACAATACAGAGATTGATCTCCCCAAACATTGTACAATACAGGGACTGATCTCCCCAAACACTGTAAAATACAGGGTCTGATCTCCCCCACACTGTACAATACAGAGATTGATCTCCCCAAACATTGTACAATACAGGGTCTGATCTCCCCCACACTGTACAATACAGAGTCTGATCTCCCCCACACTGTACAATACAGAGACTGATCTCCCACACAATGTACAATACAGGGTCTGATTTTCCACACACTGCACAATACAGGTCTGATCTCCCACACACTGTACAATACAGGGTCTGATCTCCCCATACTGTACAATACAGAGTCTGATCTCCCCAAACACTGTACAATACAGAGTCTGAACTCCCCAAACACTGTACAATACAGAGTCTGATCTCACTCCCACTGTACAATACAGAGTCTGATCTCCCTCCCACTGTACAATACAGGGTCTGATCTCCCTCCCACTGCACAATACAGGGTCTGATCTCCCACACACTGCACAATACAGGGTCTGATCTCCCTCCCACTGCACAATACAGGGTCTGATCTCCCACACGCTGTACAATACTGTGTCTGATCTCCCACATGCTGTACAATACAGGGTCTGATCTCCCACACGCTGTACAATACAGGGTCTGATCTCCCACACGCTGTACAATACAGGGTCTGATCTCCCCATACTGTACAATACAGGGTCTGATCTCCCCCATACTGTACAATACAGAGTCTGATCTCCCCCATACTGTACAATACAGGGTCTGATCTAAAATATGTGAGTGTTCCATTGTCACTCTTACACAAAAATATCTGTAAAAAAGGTCCTATGCTGTTTTTTTGAAGGATATTTGGAGACCCAAAAGACCCATATATAGCACTTAAAAGATATAATGTGTGATTTGTAATATTATTCACTTAATAAGCTCTTCACTATAATTTTGCTTTTGTGTTTTTTACTGTGTGAAATGGAATGGAAAGTAGGACATTTTAGTGAGATAGCAGTTGAGGTTTTTTTTCAAACACATTTGAATTTTTGGGACACTAACCCTAAATTAAGTGCTGGTACTGTATATATGGTTATATGATAACTTCAGATCCACCAGTAATATGTTATTTGGAATACATTTACTGGTTATAGATCATTCCCTTTACCTGGACTGGCTGAACACTTCGCCTCCTGTATTCCCTTGGGTGTACATTTTTGGCCTGTATCCCTTGGCAGACATCACTGGCTCCTTCCTTTTATCCCTTGAGCCACTGTCGTGCATGCCCGGATAGGTTGAACAGGACACAGGTTTTTGAGGCTTTTCACGACGAGGGGTAAGGCGGGTAGATTTGGCATTGGCAAAGTTGGAGAGGGAAGTGTCGATGCCACTGTCATTGGATGTGCCTTTGGAGAGAGGCTCGATATCTACTTCAGGCTGCTCGGTAGGGTCAAACCAACGCTCATCGCTGTGGTTACTGTGGTTACTGGATGCAGTGCTGGATAATGTGTTACTACTGGAGTGGCTGGAATAATGTGCCTCCCCCTGCGCAGAGAGTGAACAAACAAGTGGTTACTGTAAGGGCATACAAGGAAGATTCATTAAATGCAACGTTATTTGTAAAAAAAAATAAATACAGTTAGCTCAAACCATACACTTAAAGGGACACTCCAGACCAAAGCACTTTAGCTTGCTGAAAGCTTTCTGAAGAGAGTGTCCTTTTTTTCATTTGACAAAAAGTGCAGGTTTAAATTGTAATTTGAAAAAAAAAAAAAAAAGCCCCCCCTCCTGTTTCTTCCTGGTTTGTTCGGCTCAGTGGTGATAAACTCAAGAGTTAGCAACTACCCAGAGCTCCTGCCTTACAACTTCTTATTGAGCTGTATTGGGAAGTCTGTGATTGGACAGACAGAGAGAGTCTGGGCGGGGTTAGAAGAGAAGGGCTTGTGAAGGCTGCAGACAAGAGATTTGCAGGGTTTGCAAGCTATATTTATACCGTTATTTAAAAAAAAAAAAAAATGCTTCAATAAATGTATGAACGTTTTTATTTGCGGATTATCTACTGAACAATAGTTTTTATTTATTTTGCATTTGGGCAGTAAAGTGTCCCTTTAAGAATGATTGCAGTTTATACTATTATTACATCTTATTGTAGTGATTTTTAATGCAGCCCCTCCTTTTTTTTTTCTCAAAACTGTTTGTGAGTAGTGTGACAAAAACTTCTGGCATCCAAAGACAGGCACTGGGGTTTGACGAACCCAACACTCATAGCCCATCACTGCCATCCAAATTTGGGAAGATGAGTAAATTAAATGTCTACATTATCTCAGGGGCAACACAGATGGTATGAGATTTGTTCTCAATGTCAACCATCGCAGAAAAGGCTTCACAAAACTGGAGGGAGTGAACCCCAAGCTTCCAAGCATGGTAACCATTACAATGAGCTGTAGTGGTTATGGTGCTACAAGTGACCCCCCCAAACTAGTTCATATAACTTAACATAGTCTACATGATCTGCCTGTGTAATTCAAATATATAGGAATGATTACTCTGAATATAAAACACCTCCCGACCCCTGGTACTTACCCTGGAATTTCGGTGGGGAGAGTTTTTTCCTACCAGCTCCTGCCGGTTGGGCCTCTTGTTTACGCTGTTGCCCGTCCGGGACTGAGCTGGGATGTGCCACATCGGCTCTGCAAGAGATAAATTCTATGTTATATACGCACGCAGCAGCAATGGCGACAGTGAATAATTAAAGGTTGTGTGTATTAATTAGAGAGGTTAACAGGAGATGTGGGGGCTGGGTGCCAATGAGCAATTCATATAGAAACACTGAATGCTGTGACGGCAGATAAAGCCTTCTAAGCTCACTCATGTTCTTCAATACCGGTTTCATTTACATTGTTTGCATTCTTTTGGAGTCATGGTTAAAGTGTGGCTGTGGGCACTGGCAGCGTTGGTATACTTCTCCAAGAGGATTTACTATCCATTCATATATCCTAATAATTGCAAATTCATTGATCAGTCAGTTAAATGCATTCATAACAGAAAGAAACACATGCACACCGAGGCGAATTCTGATCATATGAGTTTGCAATCTATAGGACACCCTATTGCATGAAATGTATGGTCCCTTCTCCATTATTTTGCTTTATTTAAGCAGTATTTCATTTGGAACCATCTACTCTGAACCAATTTGCTCATAATACAGAGACTAACGAAGTGTCACTTTACTCACATAATTTTACTATTTTGTCTAAAATCTGAAAATTTCTCACCAATTCCTAACAATTTCCACTTTAGTGAATAAATCTATAGTCTCACAAGCTCCACATACTTGAGTTTTCAAAAATAAAATAAAAAATGTTATAACCAACTAACAAATATATAAAGTAAACACTCAAACACAAACATTTGAAAGCTTAACCAAAATCAAAACAAATATTGAATATAATCACAAAGACTAATGCACAGTAAAGCGGCACTGTCATGGCCGAATTCTGTTTTTTTTATTAACCCCCCTCCCGACTCCACTACATCTAACTGACCCCCCCAGTTACCCCCAAATGCCCCTAAGCCCCCCATATTGCCTATTTTTATTCTTTATTTTCTGCCCTGATCTATATTCAGGGCGCTGCCATCTTTGTGTGGGTAGAGGAAGTCCCTGTGGGACACGTCATCTGCCCACACTAGATAGTACTGAGATTCCCGCACATGCCCAGTGAAACACTTGGGCACGCGAACGGGAATTTCATCTATTCATTCATTCGTCAGTAAGCCGCATGAATGAATAGCATTGTCAGACGAACAAACAAACACTGTGTATCAGTGTTTGTTTAGTTTATTACAAGGAGGGAGCTACAGGCGCGCATCTCCCTCCTTGTAATATGTAAAGATAGAAGCGGCAGAGAGCAGTGCTCCCTGCCACTTCCTAAGCCCCTAAGTCAATATGACCCCCATAATAGCATAAAGGAGATTAAAATCTGCCCAATACCCCAACTCGCTATACCGCGAGTAGGGGCATGTCTTCTAAACAGTGAGCAGCCTGTTTGGTAGACTATGCGCGGCGGGTGGGGGACCTAAATAACAATAAGGGGGCCATAAAGACCACTACGCGGTGGGTGGGGGCCATAAAGATAACACTACGCGGTGGGTGGGGGCCATAAAGATAATGAGGGGGGGGAGGACCTACTGTCCTGTCCCCCCCCGCCCCCCCTGGGGTGGCGGTTGGGGGCCCTAAGACAAATCCCCCTCCCCCCATCAAAGGTGACTAGGGGTCCCCAAGCCCCTAGTCACCCACCCCCTACCTACCTTCCTCACCTTAAAAAATAGTGAGGGGGGAATAAAATAACTAACCTGAAAAGAAAAATTAAACTTTCCATTTGACGTCTTCTTTTTTCTAAAATCTTCATTTTTCAGCCCCAAAAAAGGCCAAATAAAAAACCATCATACCTGTCAAACTTAAAATAAAATAAAAAACCCGAACGCAAGTATTAGTAAATGTGGCTGAAAGACCAATTTAAGTGGCTGCAAGATGCAGCCGCAGCACAAATTGAATCAGAGTTTCATTCATTCAAATTAAATTCCAATACTAATAAAGTGCCGAATTGAGTTCTAAAAGAAACAAACATACTGTTTTCATTCAGTTAGAATGCAATTCAGCAGTTTCGTCTAAAATGACAGGAAGCATCGCGGGAACACAGAGGAAAGGTAAGAAAAATTGCTCTGACCAGCGGAAATGAAGCACACTTTGCTCCTCCGCTGGTCAAGTGGAGGAAACCTCCATAAGGCGGAGGAAACCTCCATAAGGCAAAGAGTCCCTACTTTGTCTTATGATTTTAAAGAAAACTAAAGAAGACAGGAAGAAAAGAAGAACAGATCCTGAGAGAGGGGGAGAAGAGGAAGAGATTGAGGAAAGGTAAGTTCGGCATGACAGTGCCGCTTAAGGATCCAGCCTGAAAAAGCTGAACACAGTTACCCTGAGCTGAATAAGGGCACTGATAAATGATTATAACAATCCCAGGAGCACACGTTAAAGTAAGAATTAATAGGGAATGTCATATGTAAGGCAGGATGGGGGGGGGGTTATAGCCAGACTGCGCTATGCATCATCGTATATAGCACATTACAGAACATCACAACAGATGGAGAACTTCATGTACCCACAGGAAACTTGTGCATGCAAAATGTTATAATAACATTCATGGTCTCAATGACAACTAGTGACAAAGATCACTTGTACACAGGGCATCAGTGATTAACAAGGATAACTAACCAGTCCGGTATAAACAGAAACCTGGAGAAACTAGTTATGGTCAAATTGCAAAAGACTAGGGGCAATATTCACTAGGAATGTACCGAGGAGGGCAGCCAGAACCATGTATGAGAGTGACAGAAAGGCAAGGGGTTAAATAGGGTCAGCCTATTGCGTCACCTAACACACGAGCGAGTATGATGTGAAACGATACTACAGAATGGGCTGCGTCTGAGCTACTCTTGCCATTAGAAGAGTATGAATCTATAACGGCAGGACCCATTATCATTAGACCTGAATCCAAACTAACATGTTGGCATACAGAAGAAGGGGCACAGAAGGATGGTGTGCGATTTGCTTGGTTAGTTTCTATATCTGTGTAAAAACACAATTCACGCTTCCTGTTAGATGTCTATCTCACAATAACATTCTCAATGCATCCCAATATTATAAACTGGCCACTAGGTGGCACTCTATGGCAAAATAAACTCAGGATATTAATATCACCTGTACAAAGTATATGTCAAAATCAAATCCAGCCAGGATCAGATCGAGATCTCAAAGAAATAAAGTGATAACACTGACAGGACGCACAGCTAAATGCTAAATAAAGCAGATCTACCGGAGGACATAGGGATTCATTCATTGGCATGAGCTCATCACAAAGCCAGCAATGCTCATAGATATCCCTGCACAGGATGAAACTTGTGGAGGTTGTTTTCACTCACTCTCTACAGAAGCATGCCTGTAACTACATGTACGCATGTGAGAGACAGCTAGTAACAAATCTCTTGCTTAAACGGCTACAAGGAATCCATGGAAACAGACCAAATGTACACTTGGAAAAATACATACATAAGCAGCATTCATTCCTATTAAACATGTTTGGCCGTTATTTTATTTAAATAGTGTCAGGGTGACTCATCTTTCTAAGGTTCACAGCTCGTCCCACCCAACCCGCTTCCAGGCAATCAGGAATGCAGCCAGTATTATTATTACAGTGGGCTCTGAATCCCTGTGAAACGCAGGTTTAGTATGAAGGGGTTTAACATGTGCTATGTGCAATAGATCCCTGCTGGGAACACAATATAAAGGAGGCATCACACCTGCGCTCACCAGGGGACAGCCACAATCCGCAGTGCATGCTCGATCGTCGGATACTTGAAACTAATAACTGCAGATGTGTGAACGAGTCTCTACATCTGACACCATATGTACCGGAATCATTATTCTGTTTTCTTGAAGGAACATTTAAATATTAAAACTATCCCTTAATTTCCTAAGAAGCCGTTACTTTTATTATTTTTAGACATTGTACAAATAGCACCTGACTCCAGTTTTACACATTTTAAAGAAAAGAAAATATATAATCAGAGGGGGGGAAAGAGCCCGCCCACAGCGGCGGAACACAAAAAAAAAAAAAAAACAAGGGGGATATTATTAAAGGGATTAAGAGCCCACCCACAGCGGCGGAACACAAAAAAACATCAACCCATGGGTCCCACGTCTTATAAAAGAGATGAGAGATTGAGAACAATGGCTGTTAGTTGGTCCATTATGTAACCATAAACGATCTTTGCCTATCCGGCAGCCAGAGCACTGCAGCAGGCAGAAAAAACAACCAGGAGTCTAGATCAAACTGCCCATGAAAAACATCCGCCAGAAGTTCCCCAATTTCCCTCCAATAAGTGGCCACCTGGGGGTATGTACCTCAGTAACCACAATCTCCAACACAAATCCACAGGAGATTTACAGTCCTGAAGTGCTGGACTTGGGATTTTAAACATTTGCTGCTGTGGCGAAACCAACCTCGCCACTGTGCACTGGAGAAGCCTGGTTGCCAGCCTCCTG